AGTAAAATCTCAGGACCTTTGGAATAGTTTCAGGTGACTCCTGTTAAGCAACACCAGAGTACTGTCTTACAGCTCCGGAGGTCAGGATTTGAGTCTTGCAGAGTTGACATCCAGGGTGAGCTGGTTCATGGGGAATCTGTCATTCCGGCCTTCTAAGGGCACCTATATTCTTTGGCTTGTGGCTGCATCTCTCTGACCTCTGCTCGCCATACTATCTCCTCTGTCTCAGGCCCTCTAGCCACTCTCTGACATTGTATCCTGAATAATCCAGGGCCCTCTCCCCACCTGAAATTAATCACCAAGTCCCCTTTGCCATGGAAGGTGACATATTCATGAGCTTCAGGGACTAGTCTGTCTGCTTGCTTGGGAGCAAGGAATGGGTGGTGGTTGTTCTTTGCCCACCACGACCTCCAGTGATCTAGACCCGTATGGTCTGCAGCACCCCCTGTTCCAGGCCTCCCTGGCCCACTGTTCAGTCCTGTTTCTAATATTAGGGCCTTTGCAACAGCTGTTTCTTTAGCCCAGAAAACTCTTGAGCCAGGCCACCGTACGACCTGCTTTTCCAGGTCCTTACTTACATAGTCCCTTCTCCATGAAACCTACCTGAGCCACTCTGTGACCTCTGACCTACATAGTGCACCTGACCCAGCTGCCTTCTCTAAGCAATTCTCACTTCCTAACCTACTAAGTAAGTCATGGTGGTCTTCTCCCCACCTCCCACACACCACTGCAATGTCAGACCAGGCAGGGGGGTCTGCCTGTTCCGTTTCCCATCTCTCCCAGGTGCTTCCCTGGCCCGGCACAGAGTCAGGAAATGGGCAAGTGGAGCAACGTGCTGAAGCCAGCCCCTGGCTGGACCTCAGACATCAGGGAAAGGCCATTGATGGTGCGGGCCCCATCACCAAGGCCACCCACCAGGAGATAGGCAGGTGCGCACCTTGATGGTCACAAGACTGAGCGTTTATTACCTGCCAGGTGCTATGTAAGCTCTTCGCATGTAGAACTCACTTCGTCCTCCCAGACACCCTTGGAAATGAATGCTGTTATCACCGCCCCCCACTATATTAGAGATACAGAAATTGGAACCGAGATTAAATAGTCAGCTAGGAAAGGGACCCAGCCCCAGAGCCCACACCTCACCACTGCTGGGTGAGGTCACAACAACCAGCAGCACGTCATCCTGTCATATTCCTCTGAGACGTTTCCCTGTAATCGCTCCATGCCAGGAACCAGGGCCGTTTCCCTGGTGACAAAGACCTGCATCTAGGGCAAAGATGGGGTTTAAAGCAGAGATATGGAAGGAGGTGTGTGTGCATGTATGTGCATGTGTGTGTGTGAGCTTATACAATCAGCTGCCAAGCTCAAGCTTGGGGTTTGCTAACTGTAAGCACCAGGAAGCCCATCTAGCTGACAACCTGACCCTGCTGTTTCTTTGACTTCACACCAAGCCCTTGAGAGTCCACAGCCTCTACCCACCTCCACCCCCTCAACTGACCTGAGGTGCCTTGCTTCTTACTCATATTTCTTTCTCCTCACTAGTATTCCCAAGTAGGAACAAAACCAAACTAACACAAGGCTCTAATCTATTTGCATACTTGAGTAAGTTGAAGGTAGTGGCCAACGGAGAGGAGATTGGGGGACTGCAGAGACAGGCCGGGTCACCTGAATTATTTCTGACATAAAGAGCGACTCGGAGGGCTGGCTGGAGCCTCTAGTTAATCAACTGTGTTGGCAAGTCAAAATCACCCTAGTTGTAAGCAGCTGGTGGCCTTTTCTGAATCTTCTGTATCCAACTAGTCCATGCAGCAGCCCTGCCAGTAACTGAGCCAGGAAAGAGGGAGGAAGCTCATTCCTTAGTGGGACATCCTAGGTCAGGCACTGTGCTAGGCTGCTAGGCTCTGAGGGATTATTTCACTTCATCCCCCAAGGCAACCCTGATTGAAAAAGATAAGCATTGTCATCTCTTCACGTTGCAGATAAGGAAGCTTGAGCAGGAGAGGCTGAGCAGTGGAGAGGGCATCGAGCAGGATTTGAACCTGTGGCTGTCTGGGTCCGAGTGGCTGTTTGCCACGCTGTACAGCACACCAGCAGGGGTCTGAGTTACAATCGTGCTAGCCTAGGTGTGTTTCGGCTTTGCCATCTAGGTTTGTGTGCGTGTCGTCCTCTGGCATTCGTGCAGTGAAATCAGCTAGTGACTCATGCCTCAGAAGGATCCCTGTTAAGCAATGCTTGATTATACTGCCTATGCTTTCAAAAGTTTCTCCATCTAAAAGATGTTGTAGGTTTGTAAACTACAAAAATGATGGCCAGTGGATCCATGGGATTGTTCAGAGAAACATAATAAATGATTGATTGGATGGATGGGTAGATACTGAATGGATCAGTGGATGGATGGGTGGATGGATGGAAGGAATAGACAAGAGAGAGAGAGAGAGATTTTAAGGAATTATGGGGATGGCAAGTCTGAAATCACAGAACACTCTGGTCAACAAACCCAGCCAGGGTTTCTTGTTACAGTCCTGAGGCAGAATTCCTTCAGAGAGAGCTCAGTTTTTGTTCGTAAGGCCTCAGCTAATTGAATGAGACCCACCCAAGTGAAGAGTAAGGGCCTTTTCTTAGAGCTAACTGGTAGTCAATGTTAATCACATGCACAGAATCAGCCCCAATGTTTGACATCGTTCCCCACCTCTTGGCCTATAAAATTAACCACCATTGGCAACCACCAGGTACCCTGTACCCACCAGGCATCACACCAAGTACTCCCACGCCCTCTTGCTTTTCCTGGTCAGGTCCTCAATAAGAACACAAAGGCTGAGATTGAGAGTAGTCAAGGTTCCCTGCCCCAGAAGAGTGAAAGGGTCTTGTAGGCCAGATTTGCTGATGACTCCTACGCCAGACACCTTCCAAAACCTTCAGTTTTAATCATCTGATTTAGTGATCTATGGGAGATGAATAAGGTCCCCCACCATCAGGCCTGGCCCAGAACTCCGGCCTGTAGGCAATCAGGACAGCCTTCTCAGCTCACCAGGCCCCTCTCTATTCCCAGACGACTCCGTGCTGGAAGCAGGACTCACCTTCCAGATAATGTCAGCAGCTAGTTCTGCAGTCCTGGGGGTCACCAGGCCCCAGCAGGGGAGGGTTCCCAGCGGCGCATGGGCAGAAGGCCCCAGGCCTCTCAGTGCTTGATGTGCCCAGACCTGGGACCTGAAACCACGTTATTGCTGAAACAACTTCATAATGAGCACTGCTCAGGACATCAATATCAAAACCTCCTTGGACAGGCCGAAATGGACCATCTAGTGACAAATCCATCTCCCTGGCAGTTGTACTTCAGTGAGATTAAAAGGAATCTGCAGAAAGCACTCCAGAATCTGATAGCCTCTGTGCGAAGGGAAATAAAGCTTCCTAGGACCACATTTTTTAGGACACACTGCTCACTGGGCCTATTCCACTCTAGGCTTTGCAACCTCTTAGTTAATTTATTTGATTGCAAGGAACAGAAACCAATGCTATACAATTAAGATTTGAAAGATCGAAGAAAAACCAAACACAAATCAGTGGGTCGTATACCTTATAGAATCAGAGCAGAAACTGGGGAACCCACACTTGAGATCATGATAAAGCAGCCCAGCTCTGGGCCCTTGGCATCAGAAGTTCAGAAGCTTCTAGACATGGGTCCGAGCCTGCAGTGGTTCCAGGCTCTGGACCACTGTTCAAATTTCCAAGAATGAGAAACTGACTTTCTGAGCTTGAGTCTGGGCTCTGTCCCTGGACACCGGCCCCTAGCCAGGGCTTCAGGGCAGCATGGCCCGGGAGCTGCTCTGTGTGCAGAGGCCACGAGAGGGGAGTGCTTTTGGCAGGGCACTGAGGGAAGTGGCGATGTAACAAGCGTGATTGTCATAGTAACTCGGGACTTCGGTGGAGACATCCAGGCCCATGGATTTCCGCATCTCTCCTCCTTGTGTTTATTGCAGAAGTGTAGTGGCTGTTCGTGGCTACACCTGCCCTGTGCCAGGTTGCCAACCAGTGTTTCTGTGGCCCTGTTTGGTCTCTGCAGCAGCTCCAGGAGGGAGCTATTAATGCCCCATGTTGAGCAATAGAGAGATGCCACCCTTAGCCGGAATACAAGACTCACAGTGACAGAGCGGGGCTGCAGTTCTCGTCTGGGCACATTCCGAGCCTCGTGGCCCTCTCTGCATCTTGCTCTGGCTGCAGAAGAGGCTCCCAAAGAAGGGAAAGGGTCAGCAAACCCAGAAGGGCAGGAACTGGGTCTCAGAGGGGCGGAGCAGAAGGCCAGGCTCCCAGGCAGGAATGCAGGAGAGGAGGGAGACCCTTCAGCAGTGGCAAGGGGGGCAGGTCTCACCAGCCAAAGGCTCAGGGTCTGGAGGTCTCCGCTGGGTGATGGCCTTCTGCCCCCCACCTCCCCTCCCCCGCATTCTGCACCAGCGGTCCCTTAACTTCTTCCAGCTTGGGGCTCAGGTTAGCCGACTCCGTAAGTGCTCAAGGGCATCACTTGCCTGCGAGTGTCCAGGCTCTGATGCAGATGAACCTCAAAGAAACAAGTCAGTGTGTAGCCACCCAGCCGCAGCAGATGGAAGGGCGGGGTGCTGAAGGTGGGAAACAGGCGGTGGTGGCCTGGCGAGCTGAGATGCGATTCTGTGCGGTGGGGGAGGGAGGCAGGGGAGTGGGAGTAAGGACGACACAGGGGTCAGTGTAGGGTGCAGGTTTCTCTAGGACTTGATACATTACAAGCAGGCGGTGGGATAACATTAGCACATGCATTCAGCAGAAAGATGACAACCATCGCCTTTTTTCTAGGAACAGTTTGGGGTCCTTCTGACCTCCAGCTAAGATTATAACATTTATCATTCTTAAAAGAAAAGCACAGTTGTTAGACAAGGTGTCCTCATTTCAGTTGTTACTCTTTACCACCAAACAATCAATCTATTAAACCGGTACATGAATGCATAAAATTGTCTCTCGCGCGTCTCTCTCTTCAGGAAGTCTGTCATCCAGCTTGACCTCACCAACACCAACAAGGCGATGATCGTGCCCGCCTTCGAGACGCTGCGATACCGCCTCTCCTTCCCCAAGTCAAAGGCAGAGCTGCTGTCTATGCTGGACATGGGGACGCTCTTCACCTTCAGGTACGGGGCCCCCACTGCCACGCCCGGGAGTGCCCCAAGCTCTCCCTCTCCTGGGGAACCCACACACTGAGCTGTGGCCTGGCTGCCCATCAACCATCTCAAGGTCATAAAAGCACCCTGACCCCAGACACTGCATTCGGCGTCTTCTCTCCCCACCCCGTGTGGTGTACCTCATTCAGCACGTGAGTGATGGGCGTGCTGTGTCCAGCTGGAAGGGCAGGAATCCTGGGAATCCTGCTTCTTGCCTGTGTGCAGCTCTCAGGATGGCCCGACTCGCCCATGCTTGCTTGTTCACTCCTTCAGTAGCTGGGTTTCATCCTCTTAGGCCGTGGTCGTGATTTTTCTTGTCCCCTTCGTGGGTACAGTCTGCTGTCCAAGGGAGTCCTCTCTTCCTCTGCTCCTATTCCAAGAGGCTTCTCCTTTGTCGTCTATAAGAGCCCCCAAGCCTCCTTCAAGTTAAAAAATTTCTAGGCAACCTGAATTGTATTGAAAGGATTATAATCATACTTGGGTTTCTGTACCTCTGTTACATTATTAGAAATTTCTGGATTTGTCAGGCAAGTGTTACTTTGCAGGCTGTTATTTATTTAACAATCAAGAGATGATCCTAATGTTTTATACAGGTAAGGACACTGAGGAGTGAGAGGTCGTAGAGGAGCCAGGATCCAAATTCTAGAATTCTGGAAAGTGGGCAAAAAGAGTGAATGTCCCACAAAGCAAGCCTTCTTTCTGTTTGGAAAGAAAGAGTAACTACTATTTGTTGAGAGATTAACATGAGCCAGCATGGTGATTTGCTCATGTGATGCGCAAACCAATCTAGTGGGTGGGTACTGTTACTGCCACTTTACAGACAAAGGCACTGAGGCTCCGAGAGGCTAAGTATCTTGCCCACAGACACACAGCAGGGCCTGGCTTCCAGCCACGTCTGAGAAGCTGCAGAGCCCACATTCTTTTTTTTTTTTTTTTTTTATTAAAAAGTTTATTTTTACATCATTTTTCACATTTTTTTTTTCATCTCAATTGTAATCCCCATGGGTTTCCCATCACCAAATCACCCTTGTGAGAGCCCACATTCTTAACCAAAATACCACCGGATCGCTAATCAAGCCTGAATTGCTTGCCAGTCTGTGGTAAAACACTATTAAAACGGTTAAATCTGGTCCTCCCTAGTGGCACAACAGGTTAAGGCGTAGCACTATGAAGCAATCCGAGGCCACTGAGACACGAGTTCAATCCCCAGTCAGGGAGCTGACCCACTTGGCACAGCAGACCTCTCTTGTCTCCCCACTGCTCCCCTCAGCAGTGCATTTCAGTGGACCTGCCTGTTCTGTTCCCTGCTCTGTCTCTGGTGAATCCTGTCACCCCTGCACCTTTGGCCTACACCCCAGTTCTTGTATGCCTAAATAAATAAATCTTTTAAACAATAATAAAACATTAAAAAGTATTAATAAATAAAATGGCTAAATCACTGTTAGGTCAGACCTGAAACTCTGAGACCAAACTTCAGGCCAGTCTCCCACAGACGCCAAGACTGATAGTTCACCCCCTAGCAAATCCCCAAAGCTTCCTTCCATCTGCACCCCGAGGGGATGTAAGAGCTCATTCCAAGGCCAGGTCCGTGGGCCTGAGGTCTGGACTTTAGGCCGCTGTGTCCATGACAGCTGCCCACACGCAGCCTGCAGGCCCGTGCTGAGTGCTCAGTGACAGACCTTCCCTCCAAGAAGTTGTTTTTGTCACCTTTGACCCAAAGATGAGCTCTTTGGCCTCCTGGCAGCCAAGAACACCCCCGGCACTGGAGTGAGGGGGGCCACACCCCTCAGTGTCTCCTGGCGACTTGTCAGAAATGCAGAGTCTCAAGCCCCAACCCAGACCTACAGATCAGAAACTCGGGGAGAGGAGGGCCCAGTCTTCTGCCCAAATATAGCCTTCAATTAGTCTGAAGCACACCCAGTTGAGTAAGGCATCTCAAAGCAAAGTGCCCCAGCTTGCTTCTCACAGCATCCTGCAAGGTGTCCCAGGAAGGTTCTGTCATCGCTCTTCTTTACGGGAAGTTGCTCACGTGCATGGTCTCAGAGAAGGAGCCTGTCGCAATGGCGGCTGCAGGGAGGCAGGGTCCTGGGCTCACGACCAGGCCGTTCTAACGGCAGGTCAAGTGGGGCTTCCTTGCACACTTTGCTACCCAGCCCTTCGATGTGGTGTTGGTCTGGGCAGAGCTAATGGAAGCTGCCTCCCACCCAGCTGTCCCCACTCTTTCCCTCCCCTATCTCCTGATTCTCACATTATAAGACGCCAAGAATTTGGATTTTAAGGATGGAGGAGAAATAAGTTGGCCTTGGATTCTCTGATGTTGCTGAGAGGAGGACCATGAATTAACATCGCATCTTGTAACAGGCAGCATTATTCAAGGGCTGAACCACGGACAGTCACGTGAGACTCTCCTGCCACCACAGTGATCTCTGGGAGGGGTAACTAGTTCAGACTGACCTGCAGTTGGCCATTATAAATGCTACAGAGCACCCCTAGGGTTCACTCACCCTGTCAGGATGTGCCGCTGCTTGTTAGTGAAGGATGCAGGTAACAAGCCACATTCAGGTCCTCGGCTACCATAGCAAAGTAGCATAAAGTGACTTAAAAGCAGAGATTTATTTTCTCACAGTCCTCGAAGCCGGAAGCCTGAAACCAGGTGTAGGCAGGTCCATGCATCCCCCAAGGCTCCAGGGAAGGTTCCCTCCTTGCCTCTCTGTAGCTCCTCGTGGTTGCTGGCAACCCCCAACATCCCCTGGCTCCTGGATGCACCGCTCCAGCCCACCTCCATCTTTGCATGGTCTGTCCCCTGTGTCTCTGTAGCCAAAATCCCCTCGCCATTGGAGCCCCCCTCCGCCCCCAGTGCACTCTGACCTCATCCTGATGACATCTGCAATGACACTATTTCCAGGTAGGTCACTTTCACAGGTAGGGAGGTTATGACGAGCATATCTCTTGGGGGAACACAGATCAACCTACACATCAGCATCTACCTCTTCCTCCAAGCCAGCAGCCTTTGAAGTGTTCAGCTTCCTTCCCTGCACTCACTGGCTTTTCTCCACGTGTCCCAGGTACCACGTCTGGATGAAAGGGCACGCGCCCACAAATTTCGCCAAGTGGCGGACCGCCACCACGCCTTACCGGGTTGAGTGGGAGGCCGATTTCGAGCCATATGTTGTTGTGAGACGGGACTGCCCTGAGTACGACCGGAGGTTTGTGGGTTTTGGCTGGAACAAGGTGGCTCACATCATGGAACTGGATGCACAGGTGAGAATGAATGTCATGGCAGACCCAGTGCTGTGCGGGGTCGGGCAGGGAGGGGAAGCCTTGATCTCAAAGCTGAAAGGGACCTTAGAGATTTAAAAAAAAAAAAAAAAAAAAAGCAGAGACCTAAGAGGGAACATGATGTGCTCTGGAGCTTCTGGAGCTGTTGATACTCAAATCACCCCTCTTTAATCAACCCTGGGTGAGAGTCGGGTTCCCAGCCAAAACCCAGGCAACTGTGATTCCTGTGAAAAGTCATTTCACTCACCCATCCTCACTCATGTCAGTGATGAAGACAAGCAAATGATACCCATTCAGCCCTTGTGCTGTGTGTCATAAATTGACACAAAGCTTTTCAGCATCCCATATAAATGACACAAAGCATGCAGCTAATTATTCTACCCTGTAACTAAAGGAGGTATGATTTCTAGACTGTATTTAATCATGAAACCTTTTTGTTTGCTCTACTAATACTTACTGCACATCTGATTCAAAAGAAGCTGCAGAAGTCTAGTAGGGTAAATCAGAGGTCAGCAAGTTTTCCGTAAAGAACCAGATAGCAAACCTGAAGGGATTTTTCAGGGCGACAGGTGTTCTTTGCAACTGCTTAGCTCCTCCATTGTAGTTCAATCCTAGACAATATATAAACAAATGGGTTGGCCATGTTTCGATAAAACTTTATTTATATGAACATGCAGTGGGCCGGAAATACCAGTTTGTCAAACCCTATGTTAAATAAAAGCAAAGCTAAGCTAAGAATGTCTGAACCCCTCAGCACAGCCTTTTTCTCTATTTCCTCCAAGGCACTACTGATAGAGCACAGTGTAAATATTTCTCAGCAGCACCTGAAATTCAGCGAAAGCAATGTTAGATGCTCAGTGTTGGCTGCCAGTGAAAGGCACCCAGCAAACATTCTGACAATTCCAGTATGTTTGGGAGCATTCAGGTGATCTACCTAGCATATGAGGTGGAGAACCACTGATGTGAATAAGAGGTTGGACTGTCGGTACTTACTGGCAGGAAGTGTGACCATCCGTCTCCTTACAGGGGACCCCGTATGACTCTCACACAAATGTTTAGTCTGCCTCAGATTCTACTTGACAGGAGAGAAATGGTGTAATAGTCATGTGTCCAGCTGTGTGATGAGGTGAACTGGTTCAAATAAATTTAACATTTCCTGCACTGAAACCTGGGCTTTATTTGTTTTAGACAGTTTTGACAGAGTTCTTGGAAACTGTTGTGTATTTACCTTCCTTTGCAATAGTACATGCCAAACCTAATTTAACTCTTTTAGTTATCTAAAGAAATAATGAGTACACAATTGACAGGTAATCCAGGCACGACCGTGAGGCCAACGGAATCGGAAGACCTCAATTCCCATGTGAAATGCCCCAGACAGCTGAGCGCTGGGAGTTCATGCATCTTCTTTTCTGGTTCTTCTCACTCCTTCCCTACGGTCAACTGTCACTTCTCCCTGCTGTCAGTATTCCATGCTTTCTAACAGCTATCTTCCTCCTCCTGGTTTCCCTTTCTGAGTTTATTCTGATCTACTCTGGCCTAGGAAATGGCATGAGCTTCTCATATCCAAAATCAGTGCATCGATTCTGAGTGCAGGTGCTCTGGCTTCTGCTGTGAGTTATATACATGTGTGACTAAAGTTGTGTCATCTCTTCTGGCCCTCACAGACCTTTTGTTTTTGGTCTGGGTATTCTCTCATGTAGAGGATGGCATCTGATGGCACACTAGTAAGGATGTGTTGGTGAGAGTTTTATTCTTGATGAGCTTCCACATTTTTTTTTTTTTTTGCTTTACTCCTTTTTATTTTCTTTGTTTGTTTCCTCTTTCATATGAATCTATGGAGGCTGTGAAATCTCACCTAGCCCTGTGAGAAGTCACATAAGCAGACATAAGCTAATTGAGCCCCCAGAACTGGCATCATTCTAGAGCAACCATGTGAGTGTGAACTCACATTTATCAAAAACCTTTTATGGCCTAGGAATTCATACCTGTAACTGTCGGGGCATTCTTGGCCATCTTCATGGTAGGTGTTCTGGCTTTCACTTTACAAATGAGAAGACAGAAACTTGAAGAAGCCAAGTAATTTGTCTAAGGACATGGACAAATCCTTGAACTACTCCACTCTGTTAAATAAGACTCACAAATTTAGAGATCTAATTGACTATATTAAATGATTCATGTATAGGGCAGCATCCAGTCAAGACTCTGCAAGGTCTCCCACAAAATGTAGGTATTTATAAAGAGAAAGGAAGTGGGACAAAAGGTTATTTCAGGTAAAGCCACCTTCCCTCGGAGGAAGGCAGGGGATTCATATGGTGCAGATGACTTCACTGATGCTGATTAGGAAACTCCACATTGATTGGTGCAGGATTATACTTCTCAGAGAATTTTAAACTGCAATGACATGCTAAGTGTGGGTGAGGGACAGGCATGAAGGACCGCAATGCCATCCTGGTTTTGGTTAGTCTTTATAGCACTATGGTTGCTCTGTCCATGGTGCTGCCCTGCTGTGTCATTCACAGATTCACTCATGCACGTTGTCATTCAGTCATCCGCTTGGGTATCCGTCAGACATTACTGAGGACTCTTGCAAGCACTCACATTGCCCCTGTCTTCTTTTAGGAATATGAATTCATCGTGCTGCCTAATGCCTACATGATCCACATGCCTCACGCCCCCAGCTTTGACATCACCAAGTTCCGGTCCAACAAGCAATATCGGATCTGTCTCAAAACCCTGAAGGAAGAGTTTCAGCAGGACATGTCTCGCCGCTATGGCTTTGCTGCCCTCAAATATCTCACTGCTGAGAACAACAGCTAGCACCAAGAGGCCCACCTGTGGGGAGAGACATTCTGTAGGAGGAGAGCCACTTGCCGTCTGGGGCCCTGCCTTCAAACTCAAATGGAGCAATGCTTTTTTGGTTTGTTTTTATTTGTCTCTTTGGCCCAACAAAGCTGCTCTAACTACAGAGATCTGGGACAAGGATCTGGCCAACCCCTCTCTGCCCCACAACCTGGCATTCCCAGATTGTGGAAAAATAGCCCATCTGCATAGTCTTTTCAGGAATGGGACTCAGAGGGGTGAGTGGAAGCAAGAGTGTTATAGTCCCACAAAGCTACACCCAAGCAGGTATTTAGGATGGTATGGTTACTTTCCATGAAAAGGAAACCAGGGTGTTAGGGTTAGCCATCTGAGAAAAAAAGCAAAATTGTCTCTTCGTTCAGAAGAAACTTTCTTCTTTGCCCTACCCTATAGCTGGGTACAAAAATGGAGGGCAAACCAATGATCAAAATCAACCATTTGGGGAAAAAAATAAACAATGGGGACATTGATTGTACTGGAGGGAACTGGAGATGGGTTTGGTTGGTTCTTTATCCTCAAGATCACTTTTGTCTTGTTTTTCTTCTTTTTTTTTTTTTTTTTTTTTTGTGAGGATGATGTTTGTATGTTTCTCTTGGATCGGAGACTCCAAAATAGAAAATCCGGTCTTTCAAGATGCTGAAGGAAAATCAGCCACCTCAACCAACATCCCTCTACCAGTTATGACCCAGAAGGAAGACAAAAGCCCTCAGCTAATGTTTAAACATGGTGGCTTTCTTGGGGGCTCACGGAGGCCCCATAGCTTTGAATTCACCACTCTCCAGAACCCAGGGACTGAGATGAGGACAGCGGGAATATGGAGGCCGACTGTTTTAAAACTGGTCACATTTTCTATTGGCAGTGACCAGTTCATGGGGAAAGGGCTCTACAGGAACAGTTTCCATGCACATGAAAGTTCCGAACCTATCAGGCCTCTAGAAGAACTTGAGTCATTCAGACGAGCCCAGTTCTGAAGATTCATGAGTCCACTTGGAGTCCTTCGGGAGGGTCCAGTTTGGTTCCTCTGTGTCCACGCCTGCTTCACCACTGGAAGGGATGAGGTCATGACCTTGGGCTCACTTCAGGACCTGACCAAGGGTAGGCAAGCACCCTCACCGTTCCACAGTTCGAGGAGACACTGGACTTTTTACCCATTTTCTTGAATCTTCAATATTAATGTTGTGTTTACATTGACGAGAACCAGAATCAATGCTGGGCTGTTTGTATTGAGTTGCCATGTGACCAGCAAACGCTGCATTCAATAAACGAACGTATGGACTGTTTCTTCCTGTTCCCTCCCCTTCATGTAAGAAGCTACAGAGATACCAGTGTAGAGGGGAACTCGAGAAACAGCAAGTTGACATCTCCCATTTCATTTTTCTCATCATTTGAAAATTTACCTTTCTTTCTCCCAGTTAGATCTCACTTTATCCTCTGACCCACAGAGTATATGCATGTTCCATTGGGTTTCTGTGTCCATGCCGAGGACAGATATTTTATAGAGCAGATGTGGAGCAGCAAGGTGAATCATGGTCATTGTTCCGGTAGTCATTTGAAAATCCAATCTGAGTGATGAGACCCTACAATAACCCAGTGTGCTCAAGTGGACCTGCCAGCTCTAGTCACACAGATGGATGTCCCAGTGAGGAGAGCTAGTGTTTGGAGTGATCCTTACTCAGATGTAGATAGTTGTGTGTGTGTGTGTGCGTATCTTGTCTATGTATCTTTTATATATAGCACATGCACAATGTTTATTATTACAAAAATTAATGCACAACTACTGTAAAAAGGAAAATACTGCAAGAGAATTCATTTCACCATACATGTTAAAGTCCACTTCTCCGTTGGTGTGCAGGAACCAAATCCAACCAGCACCTAAGAACTTACTGGGTGCATCTCGTCCCATTTCCGTGTTCGGTAACATCACCTCTGTATCTTGAAGTTGGCTATGATGGGAATATTTATATTGTGGAACAAGAGATGGAAAAAAAAAAAAAAAACACCACAAATCAAGGCACTGCTCCCACCCCAGCCTGTTCTTTGCCATTGACCAGCACATCAAAGGTACTGTTCACACACATAGATGCTGGAATTCTCGCTTCCGTCTCCACTGTGAGTAAATGTAGATGAATTGATACCATTTTTGAATGAAACATTACTAGCTACCTGAATCCAGTGAAAATGTGCTGGTAGTACTAGTTCTGCAATGTTAAAAGTTGACGATGAACTTGTTTTTAACATTTTTCATGGCACATGTGCCATGCCCAGCCACCTTGCTTTCACTGGATGCCTATGGGTATCGCAATGGCTGTATAACACATTCAGACTGGCTCACCTCTGAACTGAAGGTAGGTGTCAATTACTTTGTGGCAATAGGTACATACTCTCAATACTTAAAAGCCAGAGATTGACATTTTACACCAAGAGAAATCCTATTTCAAGAGATACTTGATCACATGTAAGACTAGAGCTCATATGGACCCAAGGTCAATAGAGAAATTGCCAGTCCACTGGAGGCTGAGGTCTGCAGCACCCAAGGCATGAACCCCCCAAATTTACATTGGAGCAGCCTCTCATTGCCAGTCAGTCCCAGCCCATGCCAGAGGGACTTAGCCAACTGGGTAGAGGCCGCTTCTGAGGAGGATGATTCCTTTATATGAGTTCCCTACAATGAAACTAGCTTATAAATTGGTCACCTGGATTTTTTCATGCTTAAATAATTTTTGGATTGTTGCTTTGACTTTCAAATGCAAGGAAGGATGTGGTTCTCTCATTTAGATCCCATAATTTTCAGTGTTGGGAGAGCTAGAATTCATTGAGCGACCATTAGTGAGAGGACCTTTTGCATGTGTTAGTTCCGTGATTCCTTGCAAAAACAACAAAGTGGCAATTACTGTCTAGAGACGAGGAACCTGAGTGAGCTTGGGGAAATTAATGCACTTCCCCAAAATCCCCTTGTCAATACATGGCAGAATCAGAATTTGAACCCAAGCCTACTTGTTTGAATCCAAAGCTACATAACCTGCAATGTTTTTCCCTTCCCCAGTAAGAAAGAAAATGGACATGAAACATTAGCAAGCAAGAGGATTGAAATCTTTAGAACTACCCACTTACAAGTGCTCTTCTTTTGTCGTCCATCCAGTAGCACACAACCTTGGCAGCTATCTCTCCCAGGTACTCTTTAAGTCTTGCTGTGCTCGTGGACCTTCTGAAAATTCATCTGAAATCGACCTGAGCAGTTTGTCGTCGTGTTCCAGCTCTTGTAGGCAGCATTTGATCCCCTGAAAGCTCATGGGTTATTTTCTGGACTCCATGGCACAGGTAGGGACCCAATTTTTAAACACCCCCCTTGGACATCAACTCAGCTTGCTGCTCCAAAGTGATCTCTCTGACCACTGAGCTGATTTACAAAGCACATATTTGCAGAGTTGGCTAATAGCTTCTTTGTACCCCATCATGAAAGCACAAACCCCACTTTAATTCTGTTTCTTTCAAAGACTCCACTGTCTTTGAGTTAAGGCTACATTTGTGGTCACCAGGCCTTTAGGGAGCTCTGTGTGAGTGGAAGAAACGTGATTAAAATCCCCTCTCAGACACAGCTCCCACACACTCTCAATGGAGATAATAAGGACTACCATTTCCTGAGCCAAGACTTCTATGGAAGTTGGCACTGATGGAGCCTCACAGCAACTTTATAAGAAGGGTATTATTATTCACTTTATTTAGCTAGTAGAACCCCCCTCAGAGAAATTATGTCATTTACCTCAAACCACACAGGTTGTCCATGGAGGTGCTGGCATTTGAACCAAAATCTGACTGATGTCAAAAAGCCACATCTTCCCACTACATGCTGCCTGCCATCTATTCATGGGATGCTGAAATAGCATGGTACTGGGCTTTGAGGTTGCACCTTCCTGTAATTCAGGGTGATGTCCTTTTTATTCCCTTGCTTTTTTAATCCTAATTTCCTCCCATTAAATTCCAATTTAATGTTATCAATGTTTATGAATTGTCAGTTAGCTGCTAAATACATTCTAAGTTACTTCAGACCCATAGACTGTAATGCTGGGGATGCCATGGTCTTTGCTTTCACTCATTTAACAAAAATAGTAAGTGCCTCCAATTTCAACAAGTGATCATTGATCTCTGAAAGGAGAGGGTGAGTACACCACAAAGATGTAGGGGTTTGGATATTGGATAGATTTTGGTCATTGGTTTGTTCCAATACGTGCAGGTACTCCTGAGAGACAGTAGCTTTTGGAATGAAAGAATGTTGACCAGTTCTGGGCAAGTGTTGCCCAAGGTGTGGGGCTAAGACCATCTGATCATGATTGATTGGTAGAGCTTGCTCAGAACACTGCTTTCCACAGACTCTTGCAGAACTGATGCTGGAACAGTTCCAAAGGAAGAAAGCAACAGATAGCAGCGGCATCCAGAGTGACTGTGGACTTTTTATCATCTTTCTGCATCCCACACATATTTATGATACAACTCTCTGAGGAGTGCTGTGAACACACAGTGAACTGGGCACAGTCTACAAGTTCAAGATTATTAGAATTATTATATTATATTATATATTATTATTATATTATTCAGCTCACTCCATTTCCTAAGTTATCGTGACCTAAAGAAATGTCCAGGTTGCCTATGTGCAGAGGAGTGTAAATGTTGAGGTTGAGTCACTTCTCTGATCTCTAAGATGCCCTGCGGAGAGGCAAAGCTAGGTACCCACTCCAGCTCCTCGGGCACTGGCAGAGGTTGAAAGGCTGGCTGACCCACAGGCAGCAGGTTTCATCAAGGCTGCTTTGTGAATAGCAAAATGAAGCAGCTTTGACTTCGAGTCAATGCAGATGGCTTCACTCTCCCACCTGCTAGGCCCTTGAGGGTGGGGGGGGGCCGCAATATTTTTGCTGTTTGTTGGAAGAACTCAGTTACCTGATGTTAGAGGACTGAGAGCTCCATTTTCTTGCTGGCTGTTGGCCCCAGGCCACCCTCAACTCCTGGGGAACTCCCGCCACTCCCTGGTAACTGGGCTTCTCTTCAACACAGGCCTGTGCTTCATCAGCAAGAGAAATGCTCCCTCTACTCTGCGAAGGCAGAGTCTAATATAATGTCACACCATGTGGGAGTGACTTCCCAGTCCAGGTCCTGCTTACACTCAAGGGATGGACATTGCACAGGACAGTACACCACACATCAGGACTCCTGGGAGTCACCAGAACGTTCTGCAGTTATGTTGTGGTCAAAGACAGAATGAATTCCCACTGCATGAGTCCATTGTGTGAGACAGAAGGAGTAACTGGTTATCTTACTAACTAAGAGGCACAGCTGGGGGGTGGTTGGCAAGAAAGGGATCACCTCACCGAGACCAGTCATCACGTCTGCGGGGGACCTTGACCAGCAAGGCCGGAGAGTCGGGGCCCCAGGTCCGGCGAACAAAGGAAGCAGTCACACGCGTGTAGCAGAACAAAGAAAGAGCTCTTTATTGGGTTTTATCTCAGCTTTATACAGAAGGAGAGGGATGCCAGGAAGGGAGAAGGCCAATAGACACTAGACATGTAGCAGTGTTTGATAACATGGTTCTCGCGAGGGACAAAAATGGGCGAGAATGGAGCAGTGTTTTGATAATAGGTGGGTGAGAAAAGAAAGAGGAGAAAGAAAAGGTGGGGGCAGGGAGTTCTTCCCACATGCCTTTTACAACCCGGATGTTTTTCTCTATCCGGACTCCATTTCACCTTTTTATGACTGCTGACAGACGCCAGATGCCGGCCTTGGTCCCCAACATCTCCTCCGTTTCTGTTTTGTTACATGAAACAACGAGTATGATGTGGGATTTTATGTCAGGGGGCTGTGCCTGTCTTAGGTTGTGGACTTACTCTTTGTGCCTTACCCGTCATCAGCTAGGAGACATAGCAAAAGTTGGTTACTGCACGTGCTTTTTTTGTCTACCTGCCTGTGTTAGGTTGGTCACGAGAGATGTCCATCTTACCCGTCTCTGGCTACCAGCCCAGCTCTGAAAGCGAGGCACTTATGGGCAACCTTGATCAGCGGCTCTGTCGCGGCATTTCTAGTTGGTGATAATGGAGCGACATGACCTTATCAGCCTGCTGTTTTACAAAATCAACAATCCGGTTGCAAATGCATGGGCCAATAGTCAGTAAAAGAAGGAGTAGCAATAGGTGGCCTGTTATGGCCGAACATTTTGATAGTTATTGCAGTAAATTAGTATACACCTTTGGTTTAATTCTAGGCAGGGGGAGTATGGTTCACTCGCGGAAGCCAGGAGGGGAGGAGACCAATGGGCATACAGCACGTTTGGCCGGCTGCTGATCTCACGAGGGGTGAAAATGGGCGAGAAGAGAAAAGGAGGAAAGGTGTGGGCAGGAAACTCTTTTCTCATGCCTTTTGCAACCCGGATGTTTTTCTCTATCCGGATTCCATTTCACCTTTTTATGGTGCAAGATGCTGAGAGACGCAAGATGCCGGCCTCGGTCCCCAACAACGTCAACCTAAGGCATTAACCCTGAATCTAGCATTGGCAAGTGTATAGGAGCAAAGGTCCTCTAGCCGAGGTGCCAGGACATGGGGTGGCTGGATGCATGAGCCCTGAGCAATCTTGGGAAGAGCAGTGGTCTGGAGCCCCTCAAGGATGGTGGGAGCCTTGGCCAACTAGTCTCCTACTAGCAAAGAACACAAGGAGACACCAGCAAGGACTAGTTGCAGATCTTACCCAGGAAAGGGCATGTTTTCTTAGCCATTCCCTGAGCCCCAGAAGGTTTGCCTGAAATCAAAGGGACGGGGAACATTTCCAGAGGTTCCTTCAGAATGTCCTGGACTGGAGGCAGTGTGTTTGGGTCTTCAGAGCTCCATTATTAAAGTCAAAACCACATGAGCTTCCATCTCCTCCACACCACTTAGCAGTGTAGTCCATCAGTGTCTCTTCCTTGAGTCCATTCCAATGTTACACAGGTGAAGAGGCAGGCAGACAGACAGATTGAGTGGATGGATGGATGGATGGATGGATGGATGGATGGATGGATGGATGGATGGATGGATGGATGGATGGGTGGGTGGGTGGATGGATGGAAGATAGATATATAGATGATGGAGAGAGAGCTCGGTAGGTACAGATAGCCTGCCTATATATAATCCTCTGGTTCTGTGCACATTAAAGGAGCTGATGTGAGTGGACACCCTGCATTTTGTAAACTGAAGGAGCCCCATGCATACAAAGCATTGTTGGCTAGAGAATTCTTCGTGTACCCTTTTTCTGCTTCAGCCTTTCATTCTTCCCTGGGTGGAAAAAGGAAGCAAGAGGTTAGTTATTGCAAACGTCTGAAACAGACTCCTCTAGAAGCTTGTGAGAGGAGCCGGGAGCAAACAGCACCACCCAGGCTTGCTGCACCACTGGGTTCTCTACAAAGGGAATAAGTTGTTCTTGAGAAGAGAACTCCAAGGAGCAAGAGCAGTCCTACGTAGCCTCATCCTTTACCCCTGAGCACACTGGCAAGTAACAAAATGCCACCTCACTCAGTCTCTAGCATCAGCAACATTGAGGGTTTGGTTTGGGTTTGAGGGTTCATGGTTGTTTATCTTCTTTGGTTGTGTTTTTTGCATTATTCTTGGCTTTGGTTCATTTTTCCATCATGTTTTTTATAAAAGAAACAAACTTCCCCTACGCTCTCCTCCTGAGAGTACCTTTCAAATTGGAATTTGAATGCGGGACATGGGGATAGTTCTGCCTCCTTGGGTCAGAGCCAGCACGAGATCAGCTAAGGAGCAAGTGTAGGTGAAAGGAGATGAGAGCCCAAGAGAAGCACAGAGCGCTTCTTCCCACAACTCGTTATCGTCTGGATGTGAAAGGGTGCAAAAAATCGTCATTGAGATAGAAGATCAAATCAAAGCAAAGCTACGAAGCTATCAATTACAACGCCTGAGTTGGCACAACCAAGGGCATCTTTTTCATCCCCCACCCCAGGGGAGTCTGGGCGCTCCTGCAGAACAGGGGTCTCTTCTGTGTCCCATCACAGGCATACTGCACAGCACAAAGGGGTTCAGGGTGCAGGTTTGCTGAGTCAGTGTCAATGTCGAGCCCGTGGCACAGAGACTGGCCCACTCTTACATTGAGCAATTCCAGGCTTGGACAATGCCAGGCATGACATCTACATGGAATCAAACCTTACTGATGTACTGTTGGCATGGTATGACACAAATCACGGGCATCAAGTTTCACACTTGGAAATGTATACGTGGCTCACGGCCACCACCACCACAGTTCTAGTCCAGTGCCACCATCAAATTGGCCACTTTGCCTTTGGCTCTCCTGCTCCTCCCTCCCTTCTGGTAATCACTAAGTCTTCACAGAGTCTGCAGGTTATTTTCTGGTGTGATGTGTTTGCTTGCTTTGTTTATTTCTAGTGCACAAAGGAGAGAGGCTATCCAGTAATTGTCTTTCTGGTTTATTTCACTTTGCGTGATCACAACTTTCAAGCATGTTGTTGCAAAGGGCACCATTTCATTGTTTTTAACAGCTGAATAGTATTCCACTAGATATTTCTACTACATCTTTATCCAATCATCTATCAATGGACGTTTAGGTTGTTTTCATGTCTTGGCTAGTGTGGATAATATTGCAGTGGACACAGGATACAAGTATGTTTTTGAAACTGTTTTTATATTCTCCAGATAAACTCCAGATATATTGGAGTCGAGTGGCATTCCTATGTTTGGTTTCCCATATTGAAAAATGGGCTTCCGAAAGGCACAATCTCTCCATTCTATGCCAGATGGCTCATTCCTTGGTCTTTCCTTCCCCATCTTTTTCCTCTGTCCTTTTCCCTGCGCTCATTCTCTTCCTAGGGTGGAGTGGGGATGTTCCTTTCCTGGACTTAAATGCAACATTCAATGACAACTTTTTGTATGCACTGGCTTCCACTCCACAGGCCCTGAAAGAAATCAAGGAGAAGAAGCTCACTGCTGACAGCAGAAGGTAAACACGGATGAACCTCGTGGTCAGGTATGAGAACAGACAGGAACGCCAGGGACAGAACTGGTCTCCAGGGAGGTGTTCATGTTCGGGATTGACTGAATGGGGTCATTTTATGCTCTGATTTGAGGGTGATTTTCCTTTAGAAAGAAACTGTATCCCCAGCTCCTAGCTTTGAGTCCAGCACATAGTAGATATTCAATGAATACTTATTGTCTCAGGAGCAGGAGCTTAGACTCAAATAAGTCCTTGTTTTGAGTCGAGGTTGGGCCACATCCTAGCTAGTTATGATACAGCTTTGAGCCTCTGTTTTATCACCTGCAAAGGGATGACAGAGTCCCCATTTCCCAGGGTAGAAGTTTGCATTGCAAGAGTACCCAGGGCATGGTAAGTATATGCACCACCACATGCAAACCTATGCACATACATGCACATGGTATACTTTTCGCAGATGTATTCTCTATGGATCCTTAAGTGAAGGGAGGAAGGATCGACTCTGAGGAATGTAGGGAAGGGAGAAGGGAAAGGTTGGGCAGTGAGAGACGTGACTGTAAGGGGCTGGATAGAGGGATACCAGGAAATGGAAAGATATGAAGAAGGGGGCAAACCCAAAATGGCGTTTAACTTATAGTCCAATCTAACTTACCATCACTTCCCACCTTACATGCATGGCCCCAGCTGTCCACAAAGTGGACCTGAGCTTTAGCGGCTCAGACATTCTCATCCTGATTTTAGAAATGAGGAGCTCAGGCTGAGAGGTTATCCAGTGTACCCCAGCCATGCATTAGGAGCAGAGGCTGAGCTGGAACCGAGGCCTGCCTCCTGGGAGCACTCTTTGAGGAGTCGCTGGCAAAAGAGCAGCTGGAGTGAGTGTGGGGTCCAGGCAGGTCACCAGGAGCACACTTAGAGCCGAAGAGTCGGCAGAGGGCTTAGAAGACGGAAATAAAAAAGCTGTGGTTGACTGGAGGTTAACAAATAAAGGAAGCAAAGGTTGAAAAGCTTACAATAAATCATCCACGGATTTTCTTCAAGATTCCTGGTTGACTGAGCAATAAAACTGGCGGGCAGAGAGCAGACAGCAAAGGAGGTTCTGAAATTAAAGGCGCGAGGCAGGAACTGAAAGTCTTAGCAGCCAGCTGCTGCTAGATCCTCAGGCCACACAACTGGCCTGCGTTATTTCACTAATCCTCGCCAACCCTGGGAGACAGAAGCTGCGATTCTCATTTCTATGCGTGGAGGTGTGAGTGTCGAGGGGCTGAAGCACAGCCGCCATCTTGCCGCCATCTTGCCGCCATCTTGCCGCCATCTCGCCGCCATCTCATCGCCATCTCGCCGCCATCTTGCCGCCGGCGAGGGATGAGGCCGGATTACCTACTGAGGTGTTTGAGTTCTGAAGTCATTGCCTTGCACCTCTAGACCAGACGTATGACAAGTGACATTTCTCAGAGGGGGACGAGTAAGAGGGTGATGATTGAAATGTAGCTTTTTTTTTTTTTAAACATGGGAAACACCTATTTTTTTTTTAAGATTTATTTATGTATTCATATAGAACTGGGGTACAGGCCAGAGATGCGGAGGGTGAGAGGATTCACCAGAGACAGAGTGGGGAGCAGAACAGGCAGATCGACGAAGTACACTGCTGAGGGGAGCAGCGGGCGGGTCAGGAGAGGTCTGCCACGCCATGGGGTCTCCTCCAGGGCAGGCGGGAATCGAACTCATGCGAAAGTGGCTTTAGCTTCTCAGTGCAGTGCTTTAACCCGCTGCGCCACCAGGGAGGGCCTGAAATGTAGCTTTTAATTGTAATGGCTTTGTAGAATTGTTTGAATTCTGGGAAAGTGATGCCTCCATTGTCCGTGGTTTTTGTGGAAAGCTGATAATGCTCAGGGAAATAAGTCAGAGGAAGAAGAAAAATTTGGGATGGTTTCACATAAAGGAGCCAAATAAGGCATTAGGGAAAAAAGTAATAACCATGACAAAACTAAACAGACAACTATAAATCAGAGGCACTCTGCAGGGGTGCGGGGGAGGGGTCAAATGAGGGAGGGGAGAGCACAGCAGACTATGGCGATGGTGGCAGGTGAACTGGTGGTGGAAAGTCCACGGGGACTACACCTGAGAAAAGAAGGTGAACGTTGGGGAAAATGAAAAAAGATGTAAAATATGTATACATTTTTTAAATGTAGGTTTTATTATTCAGGGCTGTTGCTGTCAATAGGTCAGGCACTGCCATTGGAAAGATGGGTGGTTATTTATCATTCCCAAGAAAGGTGGTACATCAGGCTGAGTCACTCGGGGTAGCACCTGGGCTGGGCCGGAGGTAGAGAGAGTGGGTGGGAGGAAAACAGGGACGAGAACCTTCTATGGTTTCCGTGGGAAAGTATGGGCTGGCGGGTGGGCAGGGTTAGGCTTGGCTAGTTTGAACAGTGTCAGGGTGTTCTGGGGATTGGTTCTCATGTTGTCTGGGGCCTGGGCCTTAAAGTGAGTTCAAAACTATGGCTTGCATGTGAGAACTCCCTCGGGAGATGGTGGGAGATGAGGTTTGGTTGGTTGTTTGCCGGGAGACACTGGCCTGGGGAGGGACATCTCTCCAGGGCCAGTGAAGCCGCAGATGTCAGAGCACTCAGGATAGAACAGCACTCTGCCAGCAAGCAGGTGGCATCACAAACCTTTCAGTAACATCGGCTCTTCCCAGTGCTCATCTAACCCAAGAGTGGAACTTCATAATACTAAGAGAGACGTTTTAATTAAATTACCATCACTGGAGAATTCAGGATGGGCATTATATTCAGCATTCTGGCAGCAAATAAATGCAGACCAAATGACCAAGTGGGTAAACTAATTAGAATTAAATGAAATTCATCAGAATACGCCCTGTTATTCCTGTATCAGGGATGTCAAAACACTGCTTGCTCATGTGAAAGGTGTGTGTGTGGGTGAGTGGGTGGGTGTGTTGGACACAGGATCAGACTTGAGAAAATGAAGATTTCTGGCTGCCTAGGTAGCCAGGAAAATAGGATCAGGCTACCGCCCGGAGAAATGTCTCTCCGAGTTTATTTTTTGTTCTGGGTTGGTTCATAGATATAAATAGAAATTGAGTCTGCCTCCTCTATTACTTATCCTTAGCATTATTTGTCAGTGTGATTAAAAGTAAGGAATGGAAATGGGAATCAGATAGCCATTCAGGATTTCTTAGCATAAAGAGACAGTGCCTTACCATGGCTGACAGGGTGCTATAGACTCTAATCTCTATGTCCATTTCTAACCTCATCACACCACACTCGCACCCCTACCCTATGATCTCCCATGGCTAGCTCTCAACTGCTGTCCAGTTCTCAACTCTAGCACCTTCCCCTTGAGATGTTCACTGATTACTCTGTCCAGGTCAACCCCCACACTATGTCCTTGAAACATGGTCACAGCTGGATTTCACATCTGTTATTGTCATAACTCAGTCATGGCTGGATCTCTGAGAAGGCTCTCAGCTCTGGAGGAAGGCAAGAACTGAAAGTTTTTATACACCAGAGCCGTCAAGATTCCAGCACGTAGTAGGTCCTACGTATATGTGAAAGGAATAAATGAGTGGACTTGGATTCTTGCCCCAGACCCATCTCTGCCTAACTTCTCATTCTTAACCTAGAATCACAAGTACTGATTGTGATGGTTTCAACAGTCTCTCCTGTTTCTGTGCTGTCTGTGACCATTAAAGGCACTCCGTGTTTTCTGTGGAGAGAGGTGGTGCTCCCTAGTGAGGTCTGCTTCCCCCTCATGGTCCGGAGAAAAGGCTTCTTTGTGATGAGGCCAGGCTGTGGGGACAGAGGGCACTTGCATTGTTATTGGTGTTCAGGGAAGGTCTCACTGACACCTGAACAAAGTTGAAAGAAGTGAGAGAGAAACAGATATGTGGGTATTTGAGAAGGAGCAACCCAGGCAGAAGGAAATAGCTGGATCAAAGTTCCTGAGGTAGGAGAATCCTTGGTCAGTTAAAAGATCAGCGAGAATATAAGGATGGCTGGAGCAGAGTGGACTGGAGCCGTGAGGACTAAGAAGCATTGGAGGGGGCAGTTCACGGCCTTTGGGGCACTTTTGAGATACAGAACAGGGAGAAGCCACTACAGGCTTTGACCAGAAATGTCACATGAACTTAGGGCCTAACTGGGTTTCTGGATGCCCCTGGAAAGATTATTATAAATTGAGCTTATATTTCCTCCTGGTGTAAATTCTCAGGCATTCTATTTCCATAAATCCATGTTATATATGCCATAAAGATGCCAGAATTACTGAAGAAAAACAAGCAACTAAACAAAAATATATGTGCTTACAAAAACAAGATCACCTTGGAATTCCAACATCTCATTCCCCTCCCTCCCTGGCATATGCAGAAACTCACCAGCTTGGAGTAACCCTACAACTTGAATTTTGTCTCTGGAAATCGCCACTTGTGACACTTGAACAAGTAATTGCTTAAGTTCCTGGAACTTTGCAAAATGAACACAGGAGATGTTGATACAGGCAGCACTGGGTGAGTGTGGGGTTATGTGAAAATACATAGGAGCACTTACTGTTAGCTCTGGCTATCGGCTTGTGGCCTGACACGTGCAAGTTTCTTTTTCTCTCCTTCCTTTAACATGACTGGAACAAAAATTCCTGTGGGAGACAGGGACTCACAGTTCATCAAGATCACAGCAATGTCATAGATCTGAACAGGATTGAATCATGTTTCCAAGCTCAGTACTAGACAATTTTTCCAGCAACCTAGAAGAGCCATGACTGCGCCCACTTTATTGATGAAAGTAAAATTTGACAGGCTTCGACTTGTTAAAACAGTCAACTGATTTCAAAGAACGTCCATTGGGATCTGCAAATGGTTCAAATAATACATGCAGTTCCCAGAAGTGTTTCCCCAACGTACCTCAGAATCTCGACCCTCGTCTTCCAGATGTATAAATGCCACATCTGCAAACTTCAGACTCTCCTTTGGCAGATGAATTCTGCCGGAAGGGTCATGGTTGATACTTTCCTGGCGGACCTCGTTA